AAAACAAATATATGTTTAATATACAAAAATTTTAATTTCATTTATTAAATTATATTTTCAATTTAATAAATGAAATTATTTTGAATACCTCTTCACTTGATTACCACAGTAAAATATCTCAATTACGAGTTACTACTTATACACTTTAAAACAAAAATAACAAGATACTCACCGCCAAATAGGAGTGAAGCGAGGCGCTTCGTACAAAAAAAAACAGCAGGTTTTTAAAAATAACAGATTGGAACTGAGTCAAAGCCTAAACAACTTTTCCTGTCCCATGAGCCACCAAGTTCGCAAACACGGCTAAGTAGCTTAGAACAAGCTCTTGTTCTTGTTTAGGGAAGTTATCTAAGGTGATAAAAAAGACAATTTAAAAGTAATGCACTAAAAAGATCGAAACAAGATTGAGAATAGAAAACAAAATTTAAATAAACTATAAACAAAGTAAAGTATACTTCGGTTTAACATACTATATTATGAGCTGAAAACCTAAGCTAAATACCCGCATTTAGTTTAATAGCAAGCAGAACCCATTAACTTTCTTTCGGTTTATGATTTGCAATTGGGTCCCGTCTGCTTTTCCCGATTTTCATAGTTTGAGTTTTTTTATTGCTTTTTTTAAGAAGAGGAGCAAAGGAGCATACTTCTCACCTGATGTTTCCTTTAATTAATTTTATTTAAAGGAAACAATAGGTGTTTAGGCGTGTACAACAGGTATTTTATTTTCATTTTATAGAAAGCCAATGAAACAAAAAAAATCAAGTAGGGGAGAGCGGGGCTAAAAGTTCAGTTTTTAATTTAACATAATATTTACATAAGAATAAATAGCTGTAACATTAGTTTCACCAGGTCACAATCTGGAAATATATGTAACGACGATATAAAGAAGGTTTTTTGGAACATTTGTCGTTAGATTTTTTTACATTTAATATTAGAATACATAAAGTCAGAAAGTAACAACTTACCCCGTCTTGGGGTAAGTTGTTAATAGGGTGGGGTAAGTTGTTACGGAGTTTATTAAAAATATAATTTGTAAAAAAAAAAAACAACAATTATTGGTTTGATCAACTTCTTGAGAACTAATCCATAATATTATAAGAATAAACAATTGTTTTCTCTTAAATTGTTCATAAACTAAACATATTTAAGGTATACATACCTATGTTATTTATACTTAACATTTTGTAGTTACATTAACAATTACACATATAATTAACAGCTTGCGTAGCTAATCAGCATTGATAAGTTAGTACATTCTTTACTTTCAACCATATCAGAAAGTCGTCTTTGACCAGAAAAAAACAAAAATAACATATTAATTAATCATCACATGATTCGTCATATTGAGAATTCGAACAAATGTATGTTAACATTTAAAAAGTTTCCATATTTATTACATCTGGAATGGACTCAATTCGTACATTCTTGACACTGAACCCATTCTTCACCAGAACTTGAGTTAGAATAACTGTCACAGCAGACTACAATAATATTCTAAACTATCCTCTTCATTCTCAGAACTTCCCCAGCTCGTTTGAAAAACCTTTCAAACTTCCCTTTTCTTGTGTCCTATCCCTTCCCTTTTTTTCTTGCTTCTTAATTCTCAGTGCTCACTTTCTTTCTCTTGCTTTGCTCTTCTGCTAAGTTTTGTTTTTCAAGGGTGTCTGTTATATTGCGAACTTTCTAAGAGCCCTCTTCTTTTTCAGAGAGGGATTGATGCACATTTTAACAGATAACAGATACTCTGCTAATTTATTTTCCTGTTCTTTCTTTAGTGAATAAAGACCAATCTTACTTTTTGTAGCCCAACCGTGACGTTTTCTAGTCCAGATTTTATCTTTTTCATAAACCTGTGTAATGTCTTATGACAAATATTTAATTCTTTAGTAACGGTTTATATTTTTCTTCCATATTTGATGACTCCATCCGCCGCCCTTTGCATAAACTCCTGAGATACAGAACCTCGTGTTGTTTTCCGACTATAAATCCATATGCTGCAAAAGAAAAAAGAACAATATTTTTTACTACATTATTAGTACAGAAGAACTGGGGTAAGTTGTTCCGAGGTAACAACATGCCCCAAAAGAAAGGAACTTCTAGCCCCAATAACACATGTCGTCAAAAAAGTAAATCATAGGTTAGGTTACGAAACATACGCAGTTTTAACGTAGTATATCAAGATTCTCGATATATTTCTGTATCAATACACCAAAGAATTAAAAGTTAGTTATCACGGTTCGTGAGATTGACCATAAATATTAAAAATGAAAATATTTACTTACCTGGATCAGTTGACTCACGAACTCACTTTCCGATGTACCGTCGCCTCTGGCCAAACTATGATGGCTGCCGTCGGTGCAATGCAACGTTCAGTTTCACGACGAATTTGCTACATATTTTTATCTTATTTTTTCACGGATCTATTTCAACCGGAACAATTTACCCCGGGAACTTTTAACCCCGCTCTCCCCTACAAGATTTGTTACTTTTTATTTAAAAAATAAGTTTATGCTTCTTTTTATTGAAACAATTCTAGGGCTGATGATGTCTTATGAGAACTATAAATCTATATATTTAGCTAAAATGAATCATTACCTATCTTAGCTAAAGACATAGATCTATAGTTCGAGGGCTTTCCGGTTTTGATTACTTCTGGGACTTGGGCAATCGTAAAAAAATGATTATTGTTGCGAATTTAGTTGTTGAACAGAGTAAGCGTTGGCATTTCTGGTAATGATGGTAATTTTAGAATTCCGCTACACATGTACCACCAGTAATAAACTTCATTAGGTATACTTCGCTTTTAGACAAAGACCTGAACTGCCATTTTTATTTAAATTATACAAAATATGGTTCAATAAAATAAGAAATATCTAGCGTTTCACATAGAACAAAGTTTAAAAAAGATGTTTTAAAATCGTATAATTCTCTGCAAAATATTTCTGTTGAAGAATCAGCTTTCGAGCAACGTATGATTTCTTACAAATTTAAAAGTAATGAATACTCCGATACAATTTTGAATACCACAATGGTTTCTCAATTCAATCAAAATTTCACATGCGAATTTCATTCAAAAAACAAATAATCCATTTAGCTTTCACACTTATAATATGAAATTGCTAGTGAGAATTTTTAGACGGAAAAACTGTAATTGATGTTTTAGTCCGACCAAGTATTCGAACCTGAGTCAAAAGATGATGGTATCCCATCCCGGTGCCGAAGTACGTAAAGCGGTTGGTCCTGCCCCTTATCTAACTCCGATCGTGTCGGATAGACGCCTCATCGGACTATCAGTGTGGACATTTGCACGCGCACACATTCATGCACTATCATTCTGTCCTGCACATATGGCTAGTCTGCGTTGAGACTGACCTCAGTGATGGGCATTCGGTCTGGAAGACATAATTTGATAACCTAAAATCAGATGCTAATAAAGTCACTGCAGGAGGAGAGCAAATTACAGATCTAGAGAATTGATAACACGGATATATTGATCATTCATGCCAGTTTGCTGGACATCTAAGGTTTTTTTTAAAGTGACTACCGCCGCCCATGAACAACCGCAACACCAGGGGAATTGCAGATGCGTTGCCGGCCTTTTAAAAAGGAGTAGGCTCTTTTCTTGAAGGTCTCTAAGTCATATCGGTCCGGAAAAATCGCTAATGATAATCGATTCCACAAGGAAGTCGTGCGAGGAGGAAAACATCTTCTAAATCGCACAATGGTGGACCGCGAATCATCCAGATGGTGTGGATAGTATCGGGAGTTCTGCCGCGATGTGCGTTCGTGAAATTTGGCGGCTGGGATTAATCCGAACAATTCCTCAGAGCACTCCCCGTGGTAGATGCGAAAGAAAATGCAAAAGGATGCAACATCTCTTCGCAGTGCCATTGAATCGAGCCCATCGGAAAGGACTCGGTCGTCGACGATTCGAGCCGCTCTGCGCTGGATGCGGTCAAGTGGAAGGAGCTGGCACTGGGGAGCCCCTGCCCAGAGATGGGAACAGTATTCCATGTGAGGCTGAACCTGCGCCTTGTAAAGTTGCAGGCGGTGTGCCGGCATGAAATATTGTCCCGCTCTGCTGAGCACGCCAAGCTTTTAGAGGCCAATTTGGCCTTCTCTTCCAAGTGACCACGAAACTGCACGTCACTCGATATGTCGACTCCGAAGATTCCGATACTGGCTGAGGCAAGAAGGGGAGTGACTTGAAACCGAGGGGATACGACAAAGGGGTTCTTTTTAGCGGTAAACGCGCAAACTTGTGTCTTCTGAGGATTAAACTGGACTAAATTTAGTCGCCCCCAATCCGAGACCTTGTTCAGCAAAGACTAGACTTGAGACACAAGTTTGTTCCGGTACTCAGCGACGTTTTCCCGAGAAATATTGGCACGGCCGGTGTATAAATCATCATCAGTGCTGTCATCCGCATAGCAATGAATGTTACCAGTTAGCAACATATCATTGATATGCAGAAGAAACAGCATTGGTGATAGCAAACAGCCTTGTGGAACACCAGCGTTAATAGGCTTGTAGTTGGAGCATGCACCGTCTACAACGACCTTGATGCTCCGATCTGCAAGGAAGCTGGTGATCCAATTGCACAATTTCTCGGGAAGCCCATAGGAGGGAGCTTCGAAAGAAGCGCTTTGTGCCAAATCCTAGACCAAGTTATTTTTATTTTACTCTACACCACTACAATTTAATTTGACATCTGTGGATTATTCTAAAGCGCACAATTTATCGCTTCTTGTCCTAAAGTTACCTACACTTTTTGGAGAAAATATTTTTGGAGAATATGGTCTTTTGTCGGATAAGCTTCTTTTAAGGCGTTTTAACCATAGCACCATTTTGGATTTTAATTATACAAAATTTATTAAATATACAATATTTTATTCTATATAATATTAAAAACTATAATGAAAAAAAAATAAAAATAGTAACTTAATTATCATACAGTTAGAAACAGGTAGAAACAGTTAAGAGTTAAATTAATATAATTATCACAATACACCTAGCCTAACAAAGTCATCGATGACTCCGTTCAATCTAGTTGCTGCGAGTTCGTTAGGTTTAATCGCGAAATCCCTGAAGTCACTAACGCCGTCCATTTTTGGCGCGTTCTCTGCTTCAACAGTCACCATCGGCAGCAACATTAAGCTCATAAACAGACCGTATGGTTGGATCTGAAACACAAAAATATTATTTTTTTATAGGATAGAGTGACAAGCGACCACACAGTCCACCTGATGGTAAGTGGTTGCTGTGACCCATAGACATCTACATTTATCCTCAATAAAGAATCAAAATGCAGATGCGTCGACATCCGTGAGGACCAAGATGGAATGCCTCTTTTCCAGTAAAATGGGTCTCCGGTTCTCTAAACTCACCATACGAAACACATTAGTGTCAAGCTGCCATTTTACGCTGGTATTCTGTGAGAGCGTGGTCCTTCCCCGGTCGAGCGGACCAATATAACTGCAGCATGGCTCTACCACGTATAAATTATTAATTATTATAATAATTATTTAAATGTATTATTTTATAAAACTCACGTGACAAATGAACATACAGTCCACTTGTTGGTATATGGCTACCTGCGGGCTATGGACACCTGCAGTTTACTTCAATCTGAGTAAGAAAGATGTGTTGTCATCTTCGAGGAAAAAGATGGAAAGCATCACAGCCTGTAATCATATTGGCACTCTACACTCTTCAGACTGGAACAAAGCAGAGTAGGCATTCTCATCTATTTGTGAACAGAAATAGCTAAGAGGATAGTAACTAAACGGAAACATAGGCAGATAAGGAATCCTACCTTCTAGATATTTTGTTACTCAAATACTTAGCAATTAAATCACTATAAATTAAGTTTTAAAGTATATATTTGTACTTTTATATATTTATATTTATAAAAATATATATTTATAAGTATATATATACATATATAATAATAAGTATGTATATATTTATCTATAAGTAATATATAAATTATATTACTTATAGATAAATATATACATATTTCTATTTTATGGCTTTAATAAAAATAATGTTATTTTTGTCGCCAAAGCACACACGTTTTTATTGTTTTCTTGCAATCCTGTCCATCCAAAGGTTGTCTGGAAGAGATCGCTCTTAGCGATAAGACCGCCCATTGTACCACATTTCTTTTTCTCATTTTTTGTTAATATTTATGTTATTTTTTGGCGTACAATTAAGTGTTATCTATCTATCTATAATTCTCAGTAATATCGATGAAAGCACTTATATCTAAGTGAAAAATATATTTCTAACTACCTTTTCCAATTCGTATTCGAAATCTTCCTTTGGGTATACTTCGTCAGCGTCGACATCCAACCTGCTAAGAGCGTTGCAAAGTTCCAAGTAGTAATGGTCGAGGAGTTGGCGATAGTGTTTAGCACGAAACTCTTCATCGGATCCGCTGAAGATGAAGTACATCAGGTCAATGATCGGGTTGGAGATTTGAAGCGTCTGGTAGTCTAGAATCACCACTTCTAACTGCCCGTACTGGGAAACAAAAATTACACGTTGGATGAAATTAACTTTGTACAGGTTTTATCGCGCTCAATTAATTTACTTAGGTTCTTATTGAATTTTTTGTTGTTCTATTTCGACGGGTCCTACTTAAACTAATGCAAATGAAAAAACAACTTTACAGGAGATCGTTTAAAGATTCAAGAACTGGTAACTTTTATATAATTCTATTGAAGTTATTGAAAATTTGAAATGTTATACCTGAATATTAGAGAAAAAAAAATGCCATCATTAATTTTAAATATTTTTAGTAAATAAAATACAATAGTGTTATTTTTTTGATGTAGCTTGTTTTCTTTAAAATCGTAAGACACGTTAACTGTTACAAGTAACCACTTGCACCTGTTTATTATGTATTTATATTTTTGCAATTTAAAGAAAAAAATTAATGGAATACCATATTTTCCATGCATGTGCAAAACATTACCAGAGTAATATTTAGCGCCTAAAATTAACAAAATCATCATCTTTTAAGAATTTTCAACTCTTGAACTAGTATACTAAGTACTGCTAGACTACTTGCACCAGTTATCTACAGTGCATTGGTCTTATAAGTGGAAATATTTTTCAACGGTTTTAGTTTCATTTATACATTCAAAAATACGAAAAAACAAATAAAAGGTTTGATTATTAAGTGGCTAAGCTTGCGAAAACACTTATTGATTTCACGATGTCTGTCCGTCTGTCCGTCTGTCCCACGATTATCTCGAGAACGGTTTCGAATTTTCAAATTCTGTTTTCAGCAATCGATTACTGATCACCCAGGCATCTGAAACTCCTATTTTGAAAATGATTGCTCAACGGCAACCGTTAGAAACCGCTACAAAGCTGATTGCTTCGCCACTTTGTTTATTTGAAGTAATTTTAACATAAAAATCATTTCTCATTGATGAAAAACCAAAAAAGGTCGTGTACAACATACACAAATCTTTTCCAGCTTAAGAGATCACAGTGGTCATTATTTTAAGCACAATATGTATAAGTAAATAGTATTTTACAAAAAAAGCTAATACTATAAGTTAATGCTGATATTTAAAAAAATGCTTAACTTTCAATTCAATAAAGCAGAAAAAGAACTATATACTATATGATAATAATAAAGTAATGATTAAGAGTATCGATCACCAAACTTGACATTGGAAGTAGTTTATTAATAACTTTTTTGAGTTATGCTGGTTCTATTAAGTATAATGCACACCAAGTACATAATTTTTTTATTATTACTTTTTTCAGCAAAATTTTTTTCGAATCTAAAACGGTTATGTACTTGGTTTTTTCTATTTTATAATTTTTTGTAAACATGTAATTATTATTTTTGTAACTATAGTTGAAAGTCTACTTGGCGCGATGCTTTACAGTGAAACTGTTTTTGTTCGGATTTCATATCTTTTTGTAAAGTACACAATTTGTTTTTCTTTTTTCAAATATCGCACACCTCATACCGCGAAGCGGTTGAGTTATTGCTTTACTCTCAACAAGTCAAGGTCAAGAAATTTTTTTGCTCTTTAACTATCTCTACAACAACTGATTTGCACTCATAAGATAATATGTATCTCTATGACTTTAAATTTCAATGTAACTCTGAATAAAACTCTACTAACAATTAAATAATTTTATTACAACTGTACCAGAGTATCCAAGTAGAAAAGTATCGTGTAGACATTCGGTAGAAACAGAAACAGAAACTTTTTTATTCAATATAGATTATAAATGATACTTATTGAAAGTTACTTACTCTTTTGTTTTATTACCACTGGTTCGGAAAAAACCTCTGTACTGGGAGGAAACCAACCATTTTTTTTAAATAACATCTTACAATCATGTACACAATTAACTACACAACAAATTAGAAATAGTATGGTAGTGATCACCTCATTCCCAGTGGTTATTGTCATCCATAAATTCCTTACTCTTATAATAACCCTTTTTATACAAACTTAGTTTAATAAAGTTTTTGAACTTTGAGCAGGTCAAATTTAGTATATTTAAAAATTCCAGTTGTTGTAAAAGCGTATACAACGCCCCAAGAATGAATTACTGACTCGGTGGAGTCGAGTAACTAAGGCGTAAATAGACTAAGTATAATCTACTAGTTAGTCTGTGTTGTGAACTGTGGAGTGAAACTATGGAGTGTAGAGGAGAAGGAGAACCATCTTATAAGGTGCGAAAGTTGAAAAAGTGTCCCACTATATACTGAAAATAGAGGTTCCAAAACCTACCACAATAGCGCTGGCGTCTGAAAAACTACGATATGAATATAGCTGTTGTAGACGGAGTGAAGTCAGCTGAATTCAAATATTTAAAAAATTTCATGACTAGAGTAGTTAGTAAAATGCCAGTATACAAAACACCAGAAGGAAGTTAGCGTAGAACATTTTTTTAAATTAAACTTTATGCCAAATAATTGCTCCTTAAATGCTCCAGCAGAATCCGAAATTGCTCCACCTCTATTGCTATTAGTTAATTTATAATTAGTTTTTAAAAAAATTTATTTTGCGTTAAAACATAAAATATTTACTTTTTAAAATAAAACTGTATGCTAATTAATTGCTCCTTAAATGCTCCAGCAAAATCCAAAATTGCTCCACCTCTATTGCTATTTGTTAATTTATTTAGAATTAATTAAAAAAAATAATTATCGGAAATTTAATTTTGCTATAAAACATTAAATACCTACTTTTAAAATTAAACCGTATGCTACTTAATTGCTCCTTAAATGCTCCAGCAGAATCCGAAATTGCCCCACCTTTGTTGCTATTAGCTAATTTAGAATTAATTTAAAAAAAATAATTATCGAAAATGTAATTTTGCTATTAAACATCTACTTTTTAAAATAAAACTGTAAGCAACTAATTGCTCCTTAAATGCTCCAGCAGAATCCGAAATTGCTCCACCTCTATTGCTATTAGTTAATTTATAATTAATTTAAAAATTTAAGTATCGAAAATTAATTGGGCTATAAAACATAAAATATCTACTTTTTAAAATAAAACTGTATGCCATTTAATTTCTCCTTAAATGCTCCAGCAAAATCTAATATTGTTCCACCTCTATTGCTATTAGTTAATTTAGAATTAATTAAAAAAAATTAATTATCCAAAATTTAATGTTGCTATAAAACATTAAATACCTACTTTTTAAAATTAAACTGTATGCTACGTAATTGCTCCTTAAATGCTTCAGCGGAAGCCGAAATTGCTCCACATCTATTGCTATTAGTTAATTTAGAATTAATTTTTAAAAAAAATTGGAAAATTTAATTTTGCTATAAAACATAAAATATCTACTTTTTAAAATTAAACTGAAAGCAACTAATTGCTCCTTAAATGCTCCAGCAGAATCCGAAATTGCTCTACCTCTATTGCTATAAGTAAATTTATAATAAATTAAAAAAAATTAAGTATCGAAAATTTAATTTTGCTATAAAACAAAATATCTACTTTTTAAAATTAAACTGTATATGTATGTCAATTAATTGCTCCTTAATTGCATTAGCAGATTCCGAAATTGCTCTATCTCTATTGTTATTAGTTAATTTATAATTAATTTAAAAAAAATTAAGTATCAAAAATTTTATTCTGCTATAAAAAAGAAAATATCTACTTTTTAAAATAAAACTAAATGCCAATTAATTGCTCCTTAAATGTTCCAGAAAAATCCAAAATTGTTTCACCTCTATTGCAATTAGTTAATTTAGAATTAGTTTTGAGAAAGAGTGATCCCATTTGAGTAATAGCTCCATCGTCAATAGAATGTAGTAACATTCTATTCATATACTTTGATATTTTTAGAATAGAGTACAATAGAATAGAATAATTTTTTATTCAATATACATTACATGAGTAATTCTTATTGAAAGTCATTTTTTACTTTACCAGAGAACCAGCAAGAAACCCAGCAAGACTTTTTTTAAATAAATTTTACAATACAAAATGATTACAAACTATTTACAAAATTTATTTTAGAAACTGTTTGGAAGCGATCACTTCATTCCCAAGGGTTATTATCAAGCATGTATTCCTTTATACTATAATAACCCTTTTTTTTTTAAAATCGATGTTTCACTTTCGAAAATATAGTGGTTCTAATATCGCTTTTTTATGAGCGATGTTGCATCCCTACTGCCATACCAATATTCTCAACATAAGGTGTCTATCTGCTTAGACGCCTTGAGATAATATTGCCAACTATCTGCTGGTTCAAGTTGCGATAAATGAAAATATGGCTTAAAAGACAAGCATCCAAGCCAAAAAAATCTTGAAAATAAGTAAATGAAAATATGGCTTAAAAGACAAGCATTCAAGTCAACAATCTTCAAAAAAAATAAAAATTTTCACCGAAATTAATAAAATCTTTTATGGAATCGGAAAACTGAGCAAGTAAAAATTTGAGATATTGAAAAGTATGAAATAATTGATAGATAGAAATAGTTTTTAGTGTTATATGGAAACAATTGACAAACAAAATAATAAATGACTGTATAAACTGTTGACGTTTCGTTAATAATTAAATATATGAAGTTAGAAATTTGGTGAGGTTATGTTGACATCTGATTCGAGAATATATGCACTATAGTCTCACGCCTACACGTTTACATACATATACATATGTTGAACGTGTACTTGGCGTGAAACACTATAGTGTCTCCGGATTATTTAATATTATAAAATAATTTTGTATTTTGTGTTATAATTGAGTCTTATTGATTACATTTGAAAAATATTATTCTTTAAATTAAATAAATCGTAAAAATGTACAATAACTTGAAAAAAAAACTATTATCAAAGGATTTCATAAATTAAAAAATATAATATTTCAGTTGATTAGTATAACATCTTCATCATTTGCCTTAGCTTTGGTAAAATTTGATTATTCTTAAAAAAAAAGTGGTACTGCGCAGTTTCAAATCACGGTCCAATTTTTCACATTTTTGCGTGTAGCTAATGCCTCTCAATGCTAAAGCTTCCGAAATTAATAAAGGATAACGTGTTAATATTGTTTTTGAAAATTTTGTTTATAAATATTCGGTAAAATTCATTAAACCCACTGTACAACGTACTGAAGTAAACAATATGAATTGTTTCTACGGGAGCATATGAGTACTATCAATATGAACAAACGGTACAAAATTCAACTGTTAAAATAATGAAAATTATTAAGACTGAATATGTGTTTTAATAGTGGTAGAGCCACGCGGCAGCTTTTGCAGTCGCACGGATGGGCCGGCTCGAACCGGGGTGGTACCACGACCTCACAGAATACCAGCGTGAAGTAGAGGTTTACCTCTTCGTTTCGCTTGGTGAGTGCAGGTGGCCGGAGGCCCTTTTTACTGGAAATGAGGCATTTCATCTTAGTCCTCACGGGTGGCAACGCATCTGCATTTTGATTCGCAAACGAGGATAGATGTAGATGCCTATGGGCCGCAGCAACCACTTACGATCAGGTGGACTGTGTGCTCGTTTGTCACCCTTATCCTATAAAAAAAAATGTAGTTTTTCATTGCATTAATCAAAATGTTCAAATTTATTCTTACCTTATGTTCTGGTGTTTGTTGTAATGCACATTTTTCTAACATATCTGTAATTAATTGACCTCGCAAACGCTTTATTACTTTTGATTGTTATCACTGTTACTTATTTTTAATCTTAATTTTAAGAGCTTATTCAAAATGCTATTATGCAGCTCCATTTGACATCATTAAGAACTAAACAACATTTAATGAAAATGAAAAAAAAAAATCAATCAAAATGAAAAAAAAATCTAGTTGACCGATCTGAGGAGAATATAATGCTATACAACTTAACCAATAATTTTGTTTCATCGGAACGAGGATTGGATAAAATAATGTAACAGTCAGCAATTTCCCTAAAAATATTTTTACACTTAGATCACACACTCCATCAACACATGCAGTGAGTCCTCGGGGTGACGGGACTTTTTTCATAAGAAAAACAAACTTCTTGGATGGAATGTGTCCAGAAAGTAGCCTCATAATCATTACTGTTCTTTGTAATTTGTGACTATCAATGCATGGATGTGGCTGGACCGTTTTATACCAGATATCTTGTTTTAAGAGCGTAAATCAAAATATTCCTTCCATAATTTGTAGCATTGTTTTTTGATTAATCAAATCCAATCTGTATAATAGGGGAGTAAATTATATTATATTCAATCACTAGCAGCTTATCTAGCCAAAACATCTACTCGTTCATAACATTCAATGCCACAGTGTGACGGGATCCACTGTAATTTGATAGATTTAGAATTGGACATCAAATTTAAAATATAGTCCAGGACTGAGTAGGCGATCGAAGTGCCTCGTAGGTCTGAGATATACCGAGCCAAGTGTTAGAGTGTGCTTTTGGAATCTGAGAAGATCACTATATTGTCTTGTTGTAAAGATATTGCGTAAGGAAAAGCCTCATAAATTGCGATAATTTGAGCCTCCACAATGCATATTATGTCACTGTCTATTTTCAGTTCTACACTAATGTTGCATTGTGGGTTTGTGCGTCGTAAAATGCTGAACCAATTCCACTCCTATCCTAAGATCCATTAGTAAAGTTTATAATAATTTTATATCGATGGTTGATAAAATCTAATCATAATAATTTTAAATTAAAATAACTGTAGCTTCCCTTTGTTTTAACAAGATTGGAGATATCACAATAAAAACATTATCCAAATCTATGTTGGTAACCCAAGTATTCATAGAAAACATTTCGAGTTGTCGGCTGGAATTAATTTAAATGTTCTAACATTTAAGGCAATCATACAAAATTAGCAATAGTGGCTTCTTTTGATTTCACCAGCATCCAATTTCCTTATATGTCAATAATTCTCGTAATATTTTAATTATAACATTGTTTTCTCGGGACCTAGCTTTTAAATAAATTTAGCTCCTAAATACGTTCTCCGCACATGCGCTGTTACTTAAGATAAACAAAAATTCTTATAAACACACGTAAATTTAACAAACTAAACACGTAAGCTTAAATAAATCGTATTTATAACAGTTTAAGGAGGTCCACATTGCATCACCGTGTCACGCATATAAGGTGTAAGGGTCACTTGAACTGGCGCAGCACGTGGACCGCAAATGTCTATAGTAGTGCAAGTAACTTGCACCAGCGTAGACAGTCGCTTGGCTTGAAATGATGTCACTTGCATCAGTGTTCAAGTTTGTACAGTAAAACTTGGTTAAGTGGGGCCTGTATAAGTGAGAAACCTCGGTAGCTGCAACTCATGCTTAGGTTCCGACACTTTAGCACTGAATTACCTCTGTTAGTGGGACAAAACAAATCTCTATATCTGGGATTAGTTCTTTCGATTTTATCGTCATAATTACCTCTATAATTGAGACAGCGAGTGTATTTTACCTTTTTTACTGAGACTATATTTTAGCGATTAGTTTTTTCGATTTTATTCGCCATAATTACCTCTATAATTGACACAACGAGTATATTTTACCTCTTTTACTGGGACTATGTTCTGTTTACCGTTATGTTAACTAATTATTATTCTACCCGTGAATTTGCACTTGGCTAATTGTGTAAAAGTGACCTCTACTTTTAGTTTGGTTTAGTTATCGTCCGGATGTCTATGTATTATGTTTACAAATTACGTTATTTTATTTAATAATCGCATATCTATAACTGAAATAACCTCTATTCTCACCTCTATTAATGGAACCCTCTGTAAATGAGACAGATATTTATTTATACCTGGATATCTGAGACACTGGGTAAGTGGAATACCTCTATAAGTGAGACAAATTTGCAGGTCCCTTAAGGTCCCAGTTATTCAGGGTTCACTGTATTTTCAAAACTATTTTTGTTACTTTAGAAAAAATTACAGGGTGCAAAATATAGGTTATTTTAAGGCGTTTGATGTAAAAAAACGGTTTTTGGCAATTTGCAGATAGCACCAGTTTTAGGTCCCTTCGAGACTATAATATGAGAATTATAAGAGAGGCCAGGTTCACAATCAAGTTTGTACACTCCTGCATTTTGTAGAAGCATTTGGCGGATTGTAAAACTCTACAATATAATATAACGATTGTAATCCGTAAAAACTAGTTAGAGGCGACAGAGAGGAGCAGAATCAGGGGTTCGTAGCATTTTCTTGATAATAACTCAAAATATCAAGTAAAAATGCAGTTGCAAACCCGCTTGCTGAGCGTGTCAACTATAGAAAAATCGCTCATACGAGCCAATCTATCGGGAGACATAAGTTCATCAGTAGATTTTTTAGGCTGTAATGGATGTATGTATTATTATTATACGTTGCATCATAACACCACAAAAAAAAACATTTACTCGTAAAGCCAAGGTTGACTTGTTCGTTAGGTACCATATAACGCTTGTGGAGCGGCGATTAGAAAAGGTTATATCCAGTTTTATTTAAGCTACAAGTTCAATCTTGTTAATATATCTTTGCAAAAAACTAAAGTTTATTTTAAATACGTTAAGTTAATACAGTTAATACATAACGTAATAATATACAATATTTATTATTTTTTATACTTAAAGATAATAAAAAAAAAACATTAAAAACTATAAATATCATACAGTCTAAATATCATACTATTCTTCGCGGTATAGTGTTGAGAACGCTGGTTGCGTTTCCTCGCTGATTGGTTTTATTTATATAACTCATAGATGCCTCTACCACTAGGAATATGTACTGATTGACAAATAATATTATTTTATATTAACTATATTTTACGTAAAGTATACATTATGAAACCTTACCTCTCGTGTTCTGTGCATTAAGTTACTGGGTCTAAAGTCTCCATGTGCAATGATAGGTCGACGTAATGGCATAACAAATTTGTGGAAATCATCATTTTGTACCTTCTGAAGGAACGTTTCTATTTTGGCTTTGTTTTCTTCTTTGAGAACGGCCATAACTTTGTCTATCATGCTTTGCACAAAGCCCTTGAGGTTGTCTACGTCTATGCGTGACTTGAATCTGGTGCACAGTGCATCAAACTTCTCAGGGTAATCTTTGCTGTAGGCGATAGATAGAGCATGTAATTTGGACAGTTCTGTGACTGCTTTGGAGGCGTAATTCCAATCAAAACTCTTCAATCTATCGTGAGTATCAAAGCCCTGTGACGATAAATCTTCCAGTACTAGAATTTCTTTCAGATATTCCCTATTGCAACCGTAGAATTTTGCAGTGGCTAGCCTATGTTCTTTCGGGACGTTGTGTTGGATCTCCATCTCTTGAAACTGCTTGAGCAATTCCGAGTAGAAAAACATTTCATTTTCGAATATATCGAACGGTACTTGAGCTCGCATATTCTCGTTGACAATAGCTGATTTCGCAAATAGTTTGAGGTCATCCTTCTCTGGTGCGGATACCGTAATGTAATGCAGTTGAGAAGTGTAGTTGGCCCCTCCTGTGGAAAACGAGTGCAGTTTAGTTTCACAGTCTTTGTAATCGTGTTCTGTGGCGATAGTGTCCAACAAGCTGCGCAAAAGCTGCTCTACGTCCGACATTTTGCGGTTCCCTGTACATACTACGCTTTATTTATTAAAATCTATCAATGACGAGTGTCGCGCGGTGCCTGTTTAGAGTGCGACGTGACGACGCCGACTTTTACTAATTAATTTCTTCTGTACCGGATGGGAAAACAGAAATAGAAACACAAACTTTTTTATTCAATTTAGATTATAAATAATACTTGTTGAAAATCACTCTTACGTTTTATTTTATAGGATAGGGTGACAAACGAGCACACAGTCCACCTGATGGTAAGTAGTTACTGTAACCCATAGACATCTACATCTATCCTCAATAAAGACTAAAGATGCAGATGCGGTGTCACCCGTGAGGACTAAGATGGAATGCCTCTCTCAGTAAAAAGGGTCTCAGGTTCTCTACACTCACCATACGAAACACAGCAGCGTTAAGCTGCTATTTTACGCTGGTATTCAATGGTTGAATTAGCAACGATTCGAAAAAATTCCTCTGTCCTGGGAAGAACCAGCACGAAACCCAGCGGGACTATTTTCGGGAAGGCTTTCGATCGAACGTTTGAGATCGTCGCTTGCCAAGCGTGACGGTTAAGTTAAACTCCTATAGTACGAGAGGCCTCTGTCCAGCGGTGGACTTTACAGGCCGATGAAGATGAAACTGAAGTGAAGATGTTATAAAAGAGACGATACTCTGAGTTTCTTATTAGTTCTTGCGAGAGTAGAGTTTTTCAAAGTAGTGGTAAAAGAAAAAAAGCCGTAAGTGTTGGATAAAGAATATTCTATTATGTTCTCTAGTATTCACGGATCTTACACGAAGACTATGGTTGGTGTACCTGTAAGTTGATTGATAGTGAGACAATAAAGAATAAAGAATGAATAGAAAAGTCTATAATAGTAGGACTTAAAAAGAATACCAATTCTACTCCGTTAGACGATTACTATCTGAGAAATAGGTAATAATATAAAGAGGTGAAAATTGATTGTAATCTTTTTTTGCTCGACTTCGAATTTCTAACTGAAGATGATGAATAGGTTTATGAAGGTTTTTATATAGGATAGAGTGACAAACTAGCACACAGTCCACCTGATGGTAAGTGGTTGCTGTGACCCATAGACATCTACATTTATCCTCAATAAAGAATCAAAATGCAGATTCGTCGTCACCCGTGAGGACTAAGATGGAATGCCTCTTTTCCAGTAAAATGGATCTCCGGTTCTCTACACTCACCATACGAAACACAGCAGTGTCAAGCTGCCATTTTACACTGATATCCTGTGAGAGAGTAATCCTTGCCCGATCGAGGCGACCCATTCTTGCTTCAAGTACATAACTAATATAGATGCAGCATGGCTATATTAGTAGTGTAGTTACACAACATCTCCTTTATACCTTTAAGTCAAGTGAATGCCTACGGGTTGAAATATTTAAGACACTATAATTTATTTGACGTACACGTAGATGTAATTTTTAAATTAAAGTTATGACCTTGCTAGAATCAATCCATCCATCCATAAGAGCACAATAATCATAATGACCTTCAATAATGTCTCCAACAAATTTATCTGTTACAAATATATTACTTTTTTATAAATAAACAAAAGGGTATGTCAGCGCGTCTACGAAATTCCGGATAGAGAGTGAGCGAGAGTTTGCTTCACTCTAGCGGAGCGACATATCGGTGGCAAGTTGGAATTGAGAGTATATCCAGAAATCCCCACTCGTTTGTGCAGTATGAAGTTTAGTGTAGGTTCCGCACTGGTGTAGTGAGAGATTCCACCTAAGTCATTATACGAGTGCTAAGATAGTATTGTGATTTGTGATTCTGTCCGTTGTAGTGATTCCTCCGAGCAAGGAGCATGGTGTTGCTGAGCAGGCGTGTCACTTTGTAAAAATCTGAGGTATGGAAAATGGTGGCGCGATTTTCAAATTTGTTCGCATTACTCGTGGGGTATTAAGGTTTAAGAGTTTGCAGTGTATATACTCAACTTATTTATTGAACTATAAGATGTGGGGTATTGAGGTTTAAGGGCTTGCGATTTATTTATATGGGGTTTGTAGTAATATGCGATTTATTTCCTAATTTCAGCTATGGAATTCCATACCTTGAAAAACTTGAGGTATGGAGTGCTCCATACCTTCCATAGTGGAAGTGACACCCCTGTTGCTGAGAGGTTGCTCTGTGTTACAATGAGATGGCTAGTGTTGCTGTTGGTTTGCAATTTTTGGTGATATCATGTAATCACGTCCCTCACGTTGCGCTAGTGTGTAATTGTGATGCGGACTATTAAAAAAAATAATTAGAAAAATAATGGATATTCTTTCACCGCCACTTTACAGTTTAGACTAGAATACTGGCTGACAAACATTTCTTTTTTTTAGTTGATTCTACTCAACATTAAGAAGTATAAACTGTATAATATCTTATGGGACATAAAGTTTTTGTCAAGATTTTTAATAATTATATTATTGTTACTAGTGGTTCATCGTGTTTGTGAATTTTATCCTTGTTAAATTTGATATTGCATATTTGGGAACACTGTTAATAATTATTAATCTTAAATATATAATATATCATACTGAATTATTATTTCACGTCCTTGTCGATGGTTGTAAAGAGAAGCCATTTACTGATTCCGTTGCCGCCAGTATAATCTTTCATTATCAGTACAATTTTAGATAAATCGAGTACCCATTACTGATAATAACAACAAAACAATTACATATTATGATTAATCCTACCTAGGTTATCAAGGACTTTCTGTCGACTTACAAGCGGGTTGTTAATGTTGTTGTATCTTAGATAAAAACCAAAATAAATATACATATCGTTGAAATACCTAGCGCCTCAGTAGTCTCCCAATGGCCTATTGAATTCTTATGTTTTATTAGTGTTATTTTACACATATTTTAGGAACCCCTGGCCTAGCCGTTGTTAAGATTAAAATGATAAATCATACGTATGTGGTCAAATCACATTAAAGTTGTAATTACAGTTAGAGTGGGGCGTATTTATCGTAACAGATAATAAAAACAGGTATTTTGAAATAGCAGAATGTAACAGCGACAAACAAACTGAAAGAATAGCTCCTGTACCACGAGACAACAAATCCAATAAAAGACAGTCACAAGTTTTTTTATTCATACTGACAGTTACCTTTTTTAAAATAAGATAAAAATGTTACTGGGACACCTTGTTACTCGCACAAGCTAATTCCTTTTCTTGCATAGGTTCAATACCTTAGAAAGGGAAGTACCCTATGGAATTATCTTAAAATACCAGACTGTAACTAAGATAAACAAACTGAAAGAACAGCTCCTGTTCCACGTTTTTTTTTATAGAATTAGGGTGATAATCGAACACACAGTCCACCTGATAGTAAGTGGTTGATGTGACCCATAGACATCTACATATATACTCAATAAAGAATCAAAATGCAGATGCGTTATCACCCGTGAGGACTAAGATGGGATGCCTCTTTTCCAGTAAAAGCGGTCTCCGGTTCTTTACACTCACCATACGAAACACAGCAGTGTTTAGTTGCTATTTTAAGCTGGTACTCTGTGAGAGCGTGGTCCTTCCCCGGTCGAACCGACCCATTCTTGCTGCAACTATACCAGTAATATAGCTGCAGCATAGCTCTATCACGTATGAAACACCACACGTATAACAAATCCACTTAAAGACACTCACAAGTTTTTCTTTATTCATACATATATGTATTCCGTCATCATTCATATCTTTGTTAGAATAAGATAAAAAATGTTAGTGTGGCACCTTGTTACTTCACACAAGCCCATTCCTTTTCTCGCATAGGTTTAACACCTTAGTTAGATAGAGAAGTACCTACCAAGACTGTAGTAACAGACTGCTATTTTGTAACAGGTTTTTGGAACTGTTATTTATGTGGAACTGGAATAGGCGGAACAGATATGCCATTTTTCCTGTTACAGCCCACTCCAGATTTACAGTTTGTATGATAAAATAAAAATATTGTCTAACTTCACGACAGCTATTTAACTGACCATTATCTGTAACCTCTCTCGCTTGTTTACATTTTTCCTGTTACAGTCCACTCCAGATTTACAGTTTGTATGATAAAATAAAAATATCGTCTAACTTCACGACAGCTATTTAACTGACCATTATCTGTAACCTCTCTCGCTTGTTTACATTTTTCCTGTTACAGTCCACTCCAGATTTACAGTTTGTATGATAAAATAAAAATATCGTCTAACTTCACGACAGCTATTTAACTGACCATTATCTGTAACCTCTCTCGCTTGTTTACATTTTTCCTGTTACAGTCCACTCCAGATTTACAGTTTGTATGATAAAATAAAAATATCGTCTAACTTCACGACAGCTATTTAACTGACCATTATCTGTAACCTCTCTCGCTTGTTTACATTTTTCCTGTTACAGTCCACTCCAGATTTACAGTTTGTATGATAAAATAAAAATATCGTCTAACTTCACGACAGCTATTTAACTGACCATTATCTGTAACCTCTCTCGCTTGTTTACATTTTTCCTGTTACAGCCCACTCCAGATTTACAGTTTGTATGATAAAATAAAAATATTGTCTAACTTCACGACAGCTATCTAACCATTATTTGTAACCTGTCTCGCTTGTTTACTATAATAACACTAATCGCCATCATCACAAACGTTTGGAGTTAGTATTTATTGTAATGATGTATGATTCGTGCGATTATGATTTATAATAGAGTTATGATGATGGGTTAGATTGTTGAAGAACGTTTTTTTTAATGGAATAAGGATGACAAACGAATGCACAGTCCACCTGATGGTAAGTGTATATTGTGCTTCGTAGACATCTACATCGGAATGGTTCTCTACACTCATCACATGCATTCGTGCATTGTTAAGTCGATCAAACGATTGTTTAGCCGAGTTGTGTGCTTACAATAATCTCATGACGATTAAACTGTTCACATACAGTTGATCCAGTCGTTATCCACATACTAGGTTTTTTTATATCGGGTCGCGTTACAGCA